AGTTTGCAAAAGGTTTAAATAACTTCAAGTATCTGTCTTCAGATTACGTGGAGGTTTTAGTCCGATGGGAAGCAGATTTTAAGCGACACCGAAGATAAACCAAAAATGTGGTGGAGCTGCAAACCGTGTAGTGTTGCTGGGACAGAACAGGAGCTATAACCGTTGGAAAATACATCACAGACAATGCAACAAACGTGGAGACAGAACAATCACTTCTGTGATAAATGCCCACTTATTAATAAACTTCTAACAACCATGGGAAACCTCCTCTCTACATATAAAGTGATATCCAAGCATGGGAAACAAAAGACAGCATTTACCTGTTTGCATCCAGCTAGCCAAGCCTTTCTTGTGTACCAGCTACTTGTGAAGCCTCGTGTATAAATGTTGTCTTTTTCACGAGATTGCTGCGATATATTCAAATCGGGTTGGTCCGGTGCAAGGTCTTTAAGCAACAATTTATCTGCCAAACTTCTCCTTTCGAAAGGATTGGAGATTAGCTCTTGAACAGAATTAGCCGGGGACCGAGGTCCGGAGACTCCACCTGCACACGAAGCCATCCTCATCAACTACTGCGTCAACCGGATACGAGTCACTGTCCAAACTACTCACAGACTGCACTGGGCGCTGACATTGGCGCCCGGTGACCGTCATCTTTGACGACGCTGATTGGCTGAAATTATATTTTCGCGGCATAGTTTACACGTTACAGATAGCAACAGTCAGCTGCTGGTGGCTGCTGCTGCACTGGTTGAAGGCTCCTCTCTTAGCGCCCAGACGAGAGAAGGTGCATGGGCAAGGCCAGGCAGGAAACATGTGACTTATCAGTAACTTTAGACATCGTAACACAATTTTAAACGAGATTTTATTGTAGATTATACATTTTACTGATACCAATTATATAATATTTACCTTGTTCATTAAAAATAAAAATAAAAACATATATATTTTTTTAAACATATTTTTTTTTTTAATTTTAATTTTAATTATTATTATTATTTTTTTTTTTCAATATGGGAAGAGGTGGGGCGGCGCCCCTAGCGCCCCTATGGACCGGCCGCCACTGCTTCCGTCACAGAGTTGTGAATTATGTTTTATATGAATTATATCGTGTGTTTTACCATCTCCAGCACTGGGAGTTGATACTGCAGGAAACACAGCTGCTACCCAGCCACTGGGTGAAGTCTTTTCTGAGCTCCAAACATAGAGAAAGAACAACAGGAGGAGGCTGTGTGTGGGCTATGTTTCCCTCGCCACCCCACCCCCCACCGTGGAGACCTCCCTCAACCTATTTGTTCCTCCTATGCCTCCCTAAGCTTGAATCACATCAGCAAAGTTTATGTGTTTACCCGAAACAGGCGAGACGGCGGTCCATCTGGCGGCCTTGGGCTTGGAGCTCGACTGCACGGCCGCTCGCTACCTTACCTCCTCGTCCCGCTCTGATTTCTTTTGTATCTCGGATTCCTGCCTTGTAAATGCTCTGGCAGTCAGCATCAGAAAACTATTTCCAACAATTGTGTTTAGGGGTTTCCAACTGTGACTAGACATGGCAGGGTAGCAAAAATAACTGCACAATACAGTAGCTTATTTATTCTTCAAATGTCTCATTGGATTTTGAACATCTAAATCAAGTACAATAAAACTGAGGCACGGAAAAGGAAATGACACAAAACACAAATTAAATCTGATTTCCAAAGAAACCCAATGTTCCCTGCTTAACTGTAACAGTCCACATCTAATGTCTAAGCACTAATACGACGTTGTCAATCTTTTACAATAGCTCCCTTTTGTTTCCAGAAATTGAGAGGACATAATTGGGTATGAAAGTTTAAATGGAAAAACCTTTCTATAGTTTGGGGTTGAATACATTTCCAGTTTAAACTGCTACACCAAGAGTCCTTCTGATTTCACTGTAATTGCAGAGATGGACCCCACTGGACAGGAAGACAGACGAGCCTTTGAAAGCACTGATTGTTGAATGATGTGCCGCAGGGCGTCAGTTATAGATGACGCTTGGACCACCATCACTCACAACTCAATCAAACCGCACTTGATGCTTTTCCATCCTGACTCCAATCAATCCATTTTCTATAAGCAAATTATGCTCCAGTAGGCCCTGAGGATTTGACAAATCATGCCACCGTCACAGCAAGATATCTGGGTTCAGGTACATGTATGGTTAAATGTGCATACACATGCTAAGAGTTCAGAACCAGAAGGAATGGAGAGTCCATTCAGAAAGAGAGAGACAATTTGTAAATTATATTTCATTTAACGAAGATCTGTTCATCAAAACAATGTGAAAAAGGAAAAAATATTTGGACTTAAAGCACAGCTGGAGTCAGACTCTGCATCAATGGCTCAATCAGAGCAAACTAATTCTCCAATCAGTGCACAATGTGTTTTACAGAAAGACTGCACATGATGGTGGTTATGAGGCGGTGATGCTTCAGTTCTTAATTAAATACAGCCATTTTAAATAGAACAAGTGGCTAAATGAACATCTACAACAAAATTACAAGGCAGCTAAACTCTTTGAACACTTCAAAACGCATTGCTATGTGTGAGTCAGCACAACACTTGCTAATGTTCTCTCACTGTGGAAGTTTATTTTACCTCCACCATCTGGTGACAAGCTTTAATGTCAATGATTCTCTTGTTTTCAAAGGTAGGTTACATTGCCAGAAACACTTCACAAGCTTGTATTGTTCTCCATTAAAAAAGCTTGTACAGTATAACATAAGCTCAGTAACACATTTCAGTTTAGGTGGCCTCTAGAGGACGATTGGACGTCTACAAATACATGTCTAAATGTTCCTTTAAAAGCAATTTACTCCTAAATGTGATGTTCCAATGTGTTGTCTGAAAGACAAAGAGTAAATACTGTGAAGTTTGGAGGGTACGCGTTGCCTTTATATTCTAATGGAGTGTCAAACTAATTGCTAAACATGGGGAAGGTCATTCACCATCTGTAAGCTATTTCTCTGCACTGCTTCATTTGCCAGCTTTTTATTTGTTGCGAAAACAGCAATCATCATTATCTTACACTGCTTTATAGTTGGCTTTTGAACACCTAACATAACACGTCTGAATAATGAGCAAGCAGAAGAGAAATGGTATGAACACAAAGCCTATTGCTCATGAAACTATACAATATGTCTGTATATATAATTTACCTTTGCTGCAGTATGCGTTCCATTTTATGAATATTATATAACGATAACTTTCAAATTTGAAGTTGCTATGCTCAATAATTCTTCTTTTTAATCCAATCCAACTTTATTTGTAAAGCACTTTAAAACCTCCAGACCAAAGTGCTGTACAGAGAGATACATAAAATATAAAATCACACAGCTCAGCTCACAAAACATAACAATAAGTATAGAATCACAAAAAAGGTTTTTAAGGTGTATGGTTCTTTAGTGTTAGGGTTAGGGTTTTCGGCTTTTTGCGTATATTGATAGTATTTTACAGACAATATACTGATAAGGAACGAGAGAGTGGACAACATGCCACAAAGTGTTGAATTTGAACCCCAACCCCTCAGTTTGCTCTTCCAGCTGAGCTACTGTATAAGCACTATTTCATCTGGTGACATTTGCAAATTGCTAATTTTCTTGTGGACAATAAATCAGTAAATATTGCGCACTATTCCTATACATTGCATCCACATGTATAGAATATATGGACCGACTGAATTATGCACTGACCTGCACACATAACTTCTGACGCTGGCTCTGTTGGTTAGGAGTAGCAGCGGCTTAAGTTAGACAAATAACTCCCAGCCACTCGCTCCTGACCCCCAATCAGCTCTGTCAATATCCGGTTCTCCTGTTCCCACTCCTCAGCCAGTCCCTCCATCCTGCTCAACTCTTATCAGTCTTTGTCCTTTAACGCCACTCTGCAGCTGGTTGGATTGAGGCGTGTCACTGTGACTGATGTGGTATCGACAAGCTATCAGTCTTAGTAGGGTGTTCACCAACGCTGATGATCAAAATCCAATTCTTTTTGATTGTGTCATTTGGCGATTGAGGGGATCACAGTCTCATTTTACCTGAGTAGCCTAGCCTCTGGAGCTGCATTTAGAAAAGCCCACTTGACTGAATATAATTTAAGGCACTTTCAAAATAATCTACACAAAGAGCTGACCGACCCCCCAAATGGACCACTGCTGTCTATCAGCTGCAATCCTTCCAGCCCGTATCAGGCCGACACACACACGCAGCCACTGAAGCACTCACATGTCAGCATAATGAAGTTAGACAGCGTGGTTTGTGACGCGGCATTGTCCTTGTTCATTCGTGGCACCATTCCCACCACACACGGCCTCTTCACCCCTTCCAGAGCCGAGCGACCAGGATATTGCTAATCGCTCACAATGGAGGGATTAGCAGGCGAGGACAATGGGGGTCTAAATGTCAGAGCCCTGCACCTGCCCAAAGCCCCCTCTGTCAAACAACAGTCAATGGGCAGCAGGCGGCTGGCCAACAGAAAACATTGCCTGTTGATAACGGTATGTATTAAAGGCCTCCAGAGGCGATTAATACATACATACACCATTACCACCACACCAGACACTTTATACAATCTTGTGATAACACAATCTCGCACTAATGTACATTCTCAAAATATTGAAGTGACTGTTGTTTTGTATTTATTGATTGTTGTATTTTTATTTAGGTCTTAAAATGTGTGTGTAACAGTTGTACATATGTTTAGAGTTAAATATTAGTTAGTATTAGTATAATCACACAAATTATGTGTTTTGTACAGTATTTAATAATTCTGTGTTCTTTATGTATTAATTGTTCAATACCTGACTAGGTTTCAAATCAGTGGGCGGAACCTCCAGAATGTAGTCGCTGTACTCAGGAGATTGTTTTTGTGGGGACTTCCCCCCTTCATATTGTGTCCCTCATGTTTCCTCTTCCCTTTTTTGTGAATGTCCCACGTGAGAGGAGTCAGTGTGAGGGATAGCTCATTTCATAACTACACTGAAAAAACTGATTCTGACCCCTTTTAGATGTTACATGTTTTAATCTAGCCTTTTTTAATAGATTTGAATGTGTTATAGCATCCTTCTTATCTTTTTTAATTAATCTTAACATATTTTGTCACTGTTTAAAACAAGTTCATTTCATTCATTTAAAAATAATTAGAAAAAATTATGTACCATTTAATTACCACATAATACTGTCCTGTCTGCGCATGTGCATACACAAGCAGACCGCCACTTTTCCCTCCATTTTCCATTCGGAATCGGAAGGACAGGACTGCCTGTGTATAGCTCCGCTGTCGTGAGGTGAACATTCTCCACGGCTCTCCGTTTTAAGTAAGTAGGCTAGCTAATTTATAGCATTGGGTGTATTATATTATACTTAAATAGGTAGCTTTTTGATAGATTAACATTAGCAAACGTTAACGTAGGCCTACAGCAGCTAGCTAACTGTTAGCCTAGCTTAGTTGTGTAGTAATGTTTAAGTAATTTAAATGAAGTGTAACATGCATCATTAACATTATAAGATAATTTAATACTGCTCTCAAGTTAAATACGTGTTAAATTCAATCTTTGTCTTGTTAGACTTTATTATTAGTTGTTGGCTAATACAAGTTGAATGTTAAACTGCCTGTTCCTATGGCTTTTTTTTTTGTAGCTTCAACTTCCCCGCTGCCCAGCTTGTATACTGGCCATGCTGTCTTCCTGACCGACTGTAAGTATGTTTTATTTTATTCTTATCACTGTGGTAATATTAGGACACAACTAAACATATGAAATCACGTTGGTAAGGGTGCTTTTGGTAACGTTACTCTCTGGCGGCAAGGGGTTAATGTTACTGCGGCTAACGTTCATATCTTGGTCTTATAAGCGCTTTCACACCGGACCGGAGTACTTTCCCCCCGAACTAGGGGGGAGGGGGGGTAGTCTTAGTTTCGCCAACACCGTATATAATATGCTATAAGACAAAATGCGTCTATGATGTATTTTCGATCTTTCCAATCCAGACGAGAGATCTTTCTCTCCCCCGTGCCCCGTCTGTGTGCGAGGGGGCGGGGCAGTTTACACACAGGCGGCTGCTACATGCATTCAACACACGGCGGAGAGAGAACTAAGCGCTCCGAGGTGTGTTTAAATGTTACCCGTCTTGAGGTGGACTCTTTGCCAAAAGTGAGAAATAATTGATAGGTTTTGGCTATGGAATAGAATATTGTAACGACCCGGTATAGGGTGCTGTGTGGGTCACTCAAGCATCCCCCGGCTCTCTGCCAATCACAGAGCGGCACAGTAATGCTGGTCGGCGTGCGGGCCTGTGGTTGGGGGAGCAAAGGGGTGGGTGTGTGTGTGTGTGTGTGTGGCCTGTTTCCGACTCCTATTGTGGAACGTTACAATATAATCATTTAATGTCATTATACATGTACAATGAAAGAAAAGCTTCTCCCTTTTTAAAAGGTGCCATCAAGTGCAATAACAGTTTAGCATGTAAGGGTGGTAACACAGGCAATTTGTCTAAACATTTAGCAAAAGTGCACCACATCCAGTAATATTTAGGCTCTATTTAAAAAGAAAAACGTAACATTGTTTGTCACAAATAATTTTGTAGGATTTTGAGTCATTGGCCTAACACAAGTTAGTAATCATTAGCAATCAATTACCTTTTTTCATTTACCATTATTATTTTTCATTTCTGCTCATCTTTATTTTTATTGCAGGTTTTTCTATCTGATGTTGGTGTGATGTAGAACAGAACCTTACTCTTTGGGGACCTCATGTTGTTTTGGTAAGTCAATTTATCAAACAAATTCCTTACTCTTCAAGTTTTGAGCAAACTATTAGGATTTTCGTTTAGTTCACTCTGCTTAGAGATCCAAATTATTTGTAGATTACCATGACCCAAAGGTGACTGTGAAACACCATCACTAATGTTTGATTCCCCCCCCCCCCCCCCCTTTTCTCTCTTTGGTGTTTGTCTAGTTTATGTGGCAGTGTAAAGACTGTGGCGCTGAAGTGTCTAAGCGATCACAAATTCTCAAACATTACAGACTAAAACATAGTCATTTTGGGCGTGGCCATCATATTAAGTGTATATATCCTGATTGTCCATGCATTTTTAAGGCTTGGAATACTCTTTTGGTACACTTGTCAAGGAATCACACCAATACCTCAAAGCCCTCTGCTGACATATTTACTACATTTTCCTGTCATCTATGTGGCTGTAGTGAACTCGGAACAGAACGTGATTATTTTGTGCACATAAGCCATCATCTGAGAAACAATGAGACAGTCACTTGTATGTTTAAAGGCTGTGCATACAAATCCAACATATACAGCACCTTCAAGTCACACAAAAGACGGAAGCACAGCTTGCATTCATTGGTAGATTTTAAGGACGGTGTTGTACAAGGAACTTGTGTAGGTGAAACTGGAGAGCCTGGTGTTTCAAACAATGAGGACATTTGCGATGAAAGTCAGTTTGATGATGTTGATTTAGATACGTCGAAGGATCAGCCAGAAATAGAGCAAAAAATTGCGGCAGTGTTATTAAAGCTGGAAAATATTTTTCATGTGCCAAGTGCTGCAGTTGATGAATTGCTGGAAGAATTTCAATATTTGTTGAGCACAGCATCTTTGTGTAGTACAAGAAATGTGATCCATGACACACTAAATAGTTACAATCTACAAGTTGACCAGTCGGTCATTGAAGAACTTGCATCTGCTCTGTGTACATCTAATCCTGTGTACAAGGCTATTGGTAAAGGTTGTCCTTTGGCAACATCCTTTAAACGCAAGCAATACTATAAACACAATTTTAAAGTTGTGGAACCCATAGAATATATCTTGGATGAGAAAGATAAAAGAACGCTACAGTATGTTCCACTATTAAAGTTTTTGCAGCAGCTTTTCACTGATGGTCACATTCTTAACAAAGCATTAGACAGTCAACTCATATCAGAGGATAGAGGAGAAGAAGTGGTATACAAGTCTTTTCGAGATGGTTTGTTTTTCAAGGATAACCATTTTTTGTCAGGAGGTGAATTGCGAGTGTTACTGAATTTGTATGTCGATGACTTTGAGATTTGTAATCCGCTTGGCACATCTCGTAAAAAGCACAAGATCTGTGGCGTTTATTGGACTCTCAGCAATTTACCACCAGGTTGCCATTCTTCGTTATCTTCTATTTATTTGGCCTTACTCTGCAGGTCTGACGATGTGCGAACATATGGCTATGAAAGGGTCCTAGAGCCCTTGTTGAGGGATCTTGTCATTTTGGAAAGTCAAGGTATTTTTATTGCACAGCTTGGAGATTGTGTTAAGGGCACAATACAGTGTGTCATAGCTGACAATTTGGGAGCACATGGAGTAGCTGGATTTCTTGAGAGTTTTTCAGGTGGGTACATTTGCCGTTTTTGTGTGGCACAAAAGTCTGAAATTCAGGAGAGGGAAGTGAGTTCAGGTGCATTTACTCTCCGAAGCAAGGAGATGCATGAAACGCATGTCAGATCAGCACAGGAAAATCAAAAACATTGTTATGGTGTTAAAAGAAGTTGTGTTTTCTCTGCACATCTTTCTCATTTCAATGTCTGTACTGGCTACCCTCCAGATATTGCACATGACATCTTTGAAGGCATATTACCAGTCGAGTTGGCACACTGCCTCAATTTGTTCATTTCCAAAAGATATTTCACCCTTGAAAATCTCAATGAGTCCATTAAGAAATTCCCTTACAAGTGGACAGACAAGAGTAACCGTCCTCATGCTATTCCCAGGGCATTCACGGTGAAGAAAACTATTGGAGGAAATGCTCACGAAAATTGGAGTCTTTTGCGATTGCTTCCATTTTTGGTTGGACAGTTGGTGCCCCCAGATGAGCCAGCCTGGCAGGTCGTTTTGGACCTTAAAGATATCGTCGAACTAGTTGTTGCACCAGTGCACACGACACAATCCATTGCTTTCCTTGAAGCCAAGATTTGTGACCATAGACATAGGTTACAAGAGGTGTTTCCGGGTATAAAGATCTTGCCCAAACATCATTTTGTGGAACATTATCCACAGATGATCCGGTCTTTTGGCCCACTAGTTGGGATGTGGACAATGAGGTTTGAGGCGAAACACAGTTTTTTTAAGCAGGTAGTCCGCCACACACGCTGCTTTAAAAACATACTCTTGTCCCTGGCGGTGAAGCATCAGTTCATGATGGCATATCATTTGGAGTCAGCCACAACCGAAAAGTCTAGCCTGACTGTCTCAGCTGTTTCAACGGTCTCTGTTGATATTTTGCATCAGGATGTACAGAAGGTCCTACAGCTGAGAGACCCTGATATTGCTCACATTCAGCTCACAAAGAATGCATCTGTTAATGGAGTGAACTACAGGGAGGGTATGGTTATTGCTCATGGCTCTGCTGGTGGCTTGCCAGAGTTTGCAGAAGTTATCCAGATGGTTGTTGTGGAACAGAGCTTGAGCTTTATTGTTAAAGAGCTGAGTGCTTGGTATAGGGAGCATTTTAGGGCATTTGAGTTATGTCCCACGTCACAAGTCTCTCTCATTCAACTTGGCGCCTTGGTAGACCAGTACCCCTTGGCAGATTACAGGATTGGAGGACGGCGAATGGTGACACTTAAACGATTCATACACATAAAAGGTTAGGACAGTCATTTGTGTTGTGTTCATGTGTTGCATGAGTTGACATTAAGACACTAAATATGGTAACAAGAGGGTTGCTTTACAGGAGGATTCATTTCGTTTTTAGTCAAATTGAAACTATAATCCTTGTGGGAATTTTTTTATGGAAGGTATCCAGTCCTCTGACGTCTTCCTTAGCTAAATTACCCTCATGTTGCCATGTATTATAGAAATGTGCATGTTAATTAAACTTACCTACTCTAACTTTGTTCATAATAAAAGTGTATACTTAAGTAACAACATTGTCAAATATTTATTTAACAACATGTTGTTTTGTGTCTTTTAACAATTAGATTGAAGAATGGCACGACATCTGAAGTTGAGGGTCATTGTGGACACGGATGACTGTAGAAGACTTGATCTCCATTCAGGAATGCCAAAAACTCTGACAGAGTTACACGATACAATTTGCCAAGCATTTGGAATTGAAAGAGACTTTCGTATTCAGTTCATGGATCCTGACTTCAATAATGATTTCATGAATGTTACATCAGTACAAGACATACAGGACCGAAGTACGATCAAGGTGGTGTACATACTTGATGATGTGGGTTCGAGTCCATCTTCTTCAGTGCAGAATGCTCCCAGCACTCCTGGATCATCTGGAGCACCAGTAAGCAGGCAAACATCTTCCAGTGTGTCGTCATTATCCTCAACAAACTCGGATAGCACCATTATTCTGCCACGTACAGACACTGAACTGAGAACACGTGCATGGCCACGCAAATTCCCCATTCCTCTCTTTCCATACAATGTAGAGGTGCAGCTTCGACGTGGAAATGAGAGCTTCAGAGAAACTGGCACTCGACTGCAGATCACACCAGGGCTGAAATCGGACATCTTGGAGAAGCTAGCCGAGGACATTTTCCAGTATACGGCATATCCACAAAATCTCCAAATAGAGGAGGTAGCAGGGGCACTCGTCCAAAAATGTCCCTGTTTGAAAGAACCATCTGCCACTGGTTACTATGGCTGGATGATTAGCCTAAAATATAAAATGGCTAATTACAGGACAAAGATGCGAAACCTTGGCTGTCCAGAAGTGACTGTAAATGCTTTGAAAAACAAATCAAGTGATGAATGCATCCCAGCCAAAAATGTAAAGAAACCTAAAAAGGCTGAAGTCAACTATTGTCCTTCACACCCTGCTGGCGAAACAGATGAAAGCCTAGAAAATCTGAGACTTGAACTATTGAATGATGTCAGACAAAGAAGCAATGCACCGTGTGTAAAACAGAAGATGTCCAAAACATTCTCCTACAGAAGAAAAGAGGTGGTGCAGGGAAATCTATCTGCTGGAGAGTTCAAAGCCAGGTGGCCTGCACTTTTCCATATTGATGAGGTAAGTTATATATTTCACATGGTGAATGTATGGTGAAATGTCTATTTATCGTACACATTGAGCTAATACAGAGCAACATGATCATACATTTGAAATGGTGTTTCTGTCCATCTGATAAGTCCAATATTCACTATCTTTTAGCTCTGTTTTTGCTCTCCACCAACTCCTTAGTAAAGTATTTGGCTCTTTAGCTGCTCAATGTTCCGCTTTCCTCACCATCTATTCTCTAACTGTATCTGTCTGCTGTTTGATTGTCTGAAGAAAACAGCTGCTGCTGGAATTGGGGTTTTCACTTTATACCTCAACATTTTACCCATTGTCAATTAAAAAAAGTATTAGCAAGGTTTAAACAACCATACAGCTTACAGGTCTAGTTTTAATTCCTTGCAATTACCTTAGATTAATAGAAATACTTTGGTTAGAACACACTGTACACCAATACACATCTCATTAAGGACTTGGTTAAAGAGGTCAAAATGAGAATCTATCCTTTAATTATATAGTAGATACAAAATATCATTACACCAATGGCTGAATGTGCTCTTTGTCGTTTTGTTTTTGCATAACAGATACATGCTGAATTCCAGCGCATAACAACTATCCCACTTGAAACGGCCTTCATGGCGCAGTTGGACAGCCATCTACCTCAGCTGACATCTGTCTTCCAGAAGAAGGGAGGAGTTGTTGGCCAGAAACTAGCCAAACATCTGGCGATTTTGCAAAAGGTAAATGTGTGTATACACTGTTTTATACAAATTGTCATATACTCTGTGGAGCAATTTTATGAAATGTACCTGTCTAGTACCGTATAGAGCCCCATTTGCCTAACAACAGCCTGGATTACTTGCCAGGTGCAAGAATGCAAGACACTTTTCTAAGGAAATCTGATCTTAATAATGCAATAGTGGCATACTGGTTAGAGAAGCAGGCTTGTGACTGTAAAGGTGCAAGTTCAATCCCCAGGTGGGGAAAGTGAAAAAGCAGAACCTGCCTTGAGCAAGTCACTTAATCCTCAGTGGCCAACAGATCAGACTGTGTTTGTACTTGGCAGATTCCAGGTGTGAACTGTGAAGAACAGAGCATTGCTCTTGGTGAAAAGTCCCTGGATGAGTAGAATTAGTAAACAGTGCTATCGCCCTAACACATTCAGACCTCTGACATTGTAATACATTTAAGTCACAATTCTTTAACATACTTTAGGTCAGTCCATTTACATGTATAATGAAGTCATTGCAATATTGTTATTATTGATGTATTTAGAAATATTTTAATTGTAATTTTTTTACACAGGCAACAAGTGATGTTAACCTTAAAAGGGAAGCAATCCTCAAGGCACTTTGCATCCACCTTGGTGAGGATGATGGACATCTCATTCGGGAGTATATGGTGAGTCATTGTAATTGCATTTGCCAGTCACATGTAGTGTTTTAAGATCCTAGTGTCAGGCATCAATTTTAGATAATTATTTTTTACCTTATAAGAAGCATGAAGGTTGAGCATATTTATATGTATGAATGTTGATATTCATCAACAGACTAAAGCATTTCAAACCATCACCTTGTTTCTTTATACGATGAGGTTGGCTTTATTCATTGTTTTTCTTATTGTCCAATGGAAAGACCATAATCAACAATGTCTTAGTCCACCTGTCAATCCTCTCTGACTTCTGACACTCATCACCAAGCTTATTGGGTCGTACGTAAATCTTTAAAAACACCTCACACATATTTAGTTTGATTCAGAAATATATACAGTATGACCAGCTTTGTTTTAAGGGATTAATAGGTATGTGAGCAATATTACAAAAAATGTATAAGATAAAGTATGTCATTAAAATTACATATATTGAATGAATACATGTTTTTTCTTTAAATATACAGGACATCGGAGGAGATGACATCACCAGAGACCTGCAGAAATCTACCATGGGCGTATACGTCATCAACAAGGATGGTGGAGAACCTGGACATTATGACGACGTTGGGATTTTTGTTGTAGGACTAATCATTCTGGACAACATTGGATCTGTAGCCCGAGCTTGTGCCATCATGCTGGGAGTCATCTATACACTGAACATGGCTTACCCCAAAGAGCTAAGGTACTACTATGAATTCATTCAGAAAGTGCTCTTGCAAATGGATGGTGAAAGGCTTTCCCCCAAAGTCCTTGGACTGAAGAACAAGATACATGCTGGACTGTAGGATTTCTTCAGCCGCTCTTGTGAACCGATGCCATTAAAGCATTACAAAAACACCAGTCAAACCTCAAAGGTTGGGAGAAGAATGTGGAAATGTTGATGGACTTAGAAGACATGTATTACATGTATTAATGTGTAGGTTATATTCTCCTCAGCTGTGTAAGTCACATGCTTCATGTTACGTCAGGATTTATTCTCTGTCTGTTTCCACTGCACTTTGTTGCATTTCGTTTTTATCGAAACGGCAACTTTTTCTACCTTAGCCAAGCGTAAAACATTTTATTTTTTATATTGGCAATTTACATCTAGTTCTGGAGAAGAATGGGAAAATATTACATGTATTAATGTGTAAGTTATATTCTCCTCAGCTGTGTAAGTCACATGCTTCATGTTACGTCAGGATTTATTCTCTGTCTGTTTCCACTGCACTTTGTTGCTGTCATGGCCTCCACCTCTGCCTAGTCTGTCTCTCCCCATGCGTGTGTGTGTGTCCACAATCCAATCACCTCTGCTATAAGACTCCGGCCCTGACTCCTCCACTTCGCCATATCGTAGACTCTGTAACCACAGCTTCAAGCCAGCCTGACTCCTATCCTGTCTCCAGACCACCTCCAACGTTGGACCCTGTCCCGCTCCTCCAGGCTCTTCTCCCTGCACTCTCCAACCTGGTCAGACCTCCGTTCCCTTGGACTCCGTCTAGCTTCCCTGGCTCAGACCCCCCTGCCCAGTAATATTCAATAAACGTTATTATTGTGTTTGAAACTCCTGCCTCCTGTCTCTGCTCAGCTCCTGGGTTCCCTGCTAGCCTTAACAGTGGCCAGATTGTACTGTTAAGGCTAACAGGGAACCCAGGAGCAGAGAGTTTCAAGCAAAATAATAACGTTTATTGAATATTACTGGGCAGTAGGCAGGGGGGTCTGGGCCAGGGAAGCTAGACTGAGTCCAAGGGAGAGGGGAACGGAGGTCTGACCAAGTTGGAGAGTGCAGGGAGAAGAGCCTGGAGGAGCGGGACAGGGTCCAACGTTAGAGGTGGTCTGGAGACAGGATAGGAGTCAGGCTGGCTTGAAGCTGTGGTTACAGAGTCTACGATATGGCGAAGTGGAGGAGTCAGGGCCGGAGTCTTATAGCAGAGGTGATTGGATTGTGGACACACTCACACACGGTGGAGGCCATGACAGTTGCATGTTTTATTCGAATCAGAAGATGTTTTGTGTAAGACACATGCTTCATGTTACGTCATTTTGTACAAGATAATAAAGTAAGAGTATGTATCAAATATGATGTTTGTTTTTTATTTTAATATATTGAAAGTTAACATAGTAATAATGGCTGAAAATGTTTAATTAAATTCAACTTAATTTTTGTATGTAGAAATTAAACTATTGAATTGATCTGAATGTACAAAAAGAAAAAAGGTTACTGTTACATAATCCATTTTAGTATACTTAACATGGGTTTAGTGAGTACATTTTACTCGGAATAGTTGAGGTGAAAAGTATCAGTATAATTAAATTGAAATTACTCAAAATAGTTTAACTGAAAATTATCAGTATAATTAAGTTGAAATTACTCAAAAATAATAAGTACAGTGAACTTAAAAAATAAATCTGGATTTAGATAACTTTGTTTTGTGCATCCACTTACCTTAATAAAATTAAGTAAATTCAACATAACAATTTTTTCAGTGTACTGATTTGTTGTTTGTTGTTGTGAGTGAATAAACGGAGATCGACACAACAGTATGCTGGCTCGGGTCTCAGCCAATATCACAAACACAACGCAGAGACAGCTTATCGACACCAGTTACATGTGCACGTGTAAACATGACTGTGTATATATATACATATTTGCACACGTATTTTTATATACATTTGTTTTCGTATTTGGGATTGTTGGAAAACGGCATTTCTCTCCGTCTGGACACACAAACTGGAAGATTGACAATAAAGTTGACTTTGACTTAAGTCCATCCAAGCAGTCTACTTTTTAATTAGAACATAGAAATGAAGCTTATCTTTCCACAGCAAAGAAGCCTCATGTTTTGTTTTTCCTCACTGCTATTTTGTTTTGCCATGGTTTGTGAAAGTTTAGGCATTTGAGGCAATGCTAAAAAGTAAGAACGTTATGCATTATTCAATGGCAAAGTTAAAGTGAAACCTCAAACAAATGAGGGATAAACAAAACCAAAGCCTTCCTAATGACCCCTAGAGGCAATGATGTATACGAAAACACACACTAAATAGTTTCCAATCGAATACACACACGGAGGATTTTGATTTTTTTAAACCCGTAAAGCTCTTCTTGGGTCCAAAATATTCATTCTTTTTTTTAAGAGGGAATCAATCCAAAATGGTCAGACCCAATACAAAGGACCTAAGGATTTTAAAAACATGATCCAAAATGTACTCAACCAGAACAGACTAAAATATAATATTATCCAACACTAGCTGCATCACAATCCCACACCAGTTATCCAGCAGAGATGTCATTGTTCTTGCACGTCATGCAATTCACACTTGTTTTTTCCACTGAAACACGTATTTGCTGTTGTGATGAATAGATGACCAGCTGTGATCAGAGCTGATAGGAAGTCAGCTCAGATCCTCATGACTCAGAGGCATATTGACACAAAGACCCCAGGCTAAAACAACCGGACAATATCTAATGAGTAGATATTGGAATCCAATATCTAATGATTAGATATTGGATTAGATTCTAATCTAATTTTGTGGTGAAGGGACAAGACATAGAAATTAGTGAGAATTATACAACTTCCTGTTCCCTCGTCCCAAATGTTTTCAATGTGCTTTTGGTTGTACGCCGGAAATGAAAATCTGATGTTAACACAAGCTGAAAATATGTTTATGGTCTAATCTACAACATAAAACCCGGAAGTAAATACCCCCACTCGTGAATATACAACGCTTCTTTGGGTAATAAAAATGGTCGCTAACATAGCATTAGTGATGCGCACAATCATGTAGTTCGTTTATAGCCTAACGTTAGCTTTTCACTTCAAATATCATAAAATTGTGATAATATGTGGAGACAACAACATAAATAGTGCCATATGACAAAATAATGTGAATGTAAAACCACCTGTTTTTACTGAGGTCCTTCTGCTTCTCATTGCCTTACTATGCTATATTCAGTCTATGTAGCTCCATTCATTTGTGTCCTAGCCTCCTGCCGAACAAAACACAAAATTCCCCTTTACATTTTACCAGCAGGCATTGAGAGAGCAAAATCCTTCTCAGGGTCACTGGTAACAAAATAATTGTCTCATCCGCTGAGGAGAAAGCTGGCATTCTTTAGCGGCTGGCTTTTTATTCAAAGCAAGGGCAAAACTGTTTGGAGAAATATTGACTTGAGTGCTTTTCACACTTTACAAACCTGCAGCAGAGGATGAGGACTCCACTTTCAAAAGACGGCACATTTCTGTTTCTCCCTCCTCATTTTCCTACATGAATCTTTGAAAGCCGACTGAAAATTGGCCCTTGCACGTGATGGTAATTTTCTCAACAGTGCCATCCAAGATTCTCCAAATTCCTCGCCGCTTTACTCACGGTGCAAGAGCCTCTCAGTGCTCAGAAATGCTGGTATCAATCTTATCAGTGCATGCCTCTCTAAGCCAGCCAGAAAACCTCAAGGGATGCTCTGACCTTCATCTATGGAGATCACTTCATGGAAATTGAAAGAAAGTCCAGTATCACCATCAAGTGAGCACGATACAAGGATTTGAGGAGTAGCTGTTATTGAACATTCATGACAAGTAGGACTATTTGGCCATGGCATGTCACTGCAGACAGAACAAGCTGAAAAAAGGCTATTTTGAATTCCTTCATGTGACCCAGTTATGTGAAGAATTCCAAGTTGAATACTATATTGGCCAAAATGCCAAACTAGATTTCAACATATTTAGCGAATCACTACTTAGTGTTTACAAACTGTATGTACTAAAGCCTATTATGCTCATTTTGAGGTTTCCTAACTATTTCTGGCCATACTGTAGGAGCTGTATTTAATATGAGTTTCTCTGTCATAGTAGGACAGAGTCGTTGACACTCATCACTTTTTAATTACCTGCTGAACTAAAGTGAAGTTGACACCTTCATAATAAGCCCATGTGTCCTGGGAGATCTTTTGACACCGTGATAATGTGTCAGGATAATATGATTAGCTGTCTAAACAGTCACCTGTCTATCAATCAAACGTATTTACATCAAAGAACCCTGCTGGGATTATTAGAAAGACAAGACTAACGATTAGATGCAAATTAGGTTGGTAACATCTACGAATGACTTCCTAACTAATGTTAATGGAGAGCAATCACCTTTATTATGCATCTTAAAGAGACGCTTCTATTGGCTAGCGCTCCAACACATTGTACGTGATAGGCTAAGGGGCGGGACGTCTCTAAGCGGTTGAACAATCACAACAGAGCCGGCCAGCTAACCAATCAGAGCAGACTGGGCTCTGGTTTCAGACAGAGGGTGAAAAGAGGTGCTGCAGCACAGACAGTATGAGAACAATAAAGAGCTTTTTGAACATTAAAGCATGGAGACATGTAGAGACACTACATACTGATATACACCTGAACATCAGCAGGAGAGGACTCTTTAAAGTAGAGACACTACATACTGATATACACCTGAACATCAGCAGGAGAGGACTCTTTAAAGTAGAGACACTACATACTGATATACACCTGAACATTAGCAGAAGAGGACTCTTTAAAGTAGAGACACTACATACTGATATGCACCTGAACATCAGCAGGAGAGGACTCTTTAAAGTAGAGACACTACATACTGATATACACCTGAACATCAGCAGGAGAGGACTCTTTAAAGTAGAGACACTACATACTGATATACACCTGAACATCAGCAGGAGAGGACTCTTTAAAGTAGAGACACTACATACTGATATACACCTGAACATCAGCAGGAGAGGACTCTTTAAAGTAGAGACACAAAATACTGATATACACCTGAACAAGATAATAATATGTCCTCTTTAAGTCAGATTTAGGGTTAAAAACAGGTGAGTTACTGTCAATAGCTAACCAAAGGCTAATGCTAAGGAACAGAAAAACCCTCAGAGGACTCATAAGTCACATATTCAGAAAACAAATAGATATACACAACACAAATAACACAAAACCACTGAAGCAAAAAGGGTTATGAAAGGATTGGGAGAAAACCGACAAGAATACAAAAACTGCCAAACAATAACATCCCTCGTCTTCTGAGATAAAAACAACGCTGTTGATCACCACGTTTTCTATGTAGAGGAGGCAGCATACCAAGGGCCCCCGAGCATTCCTCTGCAAACTGACATGGCTGACAGAGGAAGAGAGGGAAAGGCTGACTGATGGGTTATGAGCCCCCCCCCCCCCCGCTGTCTCCCCGCATGTACTTAGGAGCTGCCAAACCCTGTGTGATATTAATGTCATCTGCCTTTTGTAATTTGACTTGGGAGTTCAAATCTTGTCTCAGCATTGCCTCTCTCACGTCTGCTGGGTCTTACATCTCCGGAAAAATAAGGGAAACAGAAAAGAGGAGAGAGGCTCGTTGGGCTTCAGTTTTCGAGCAGATGTCAGATGCACCTCACTTCCTCCCATAAAGTGGGATGAGTCTGCTTCTTGGAGACGGAAAAAAAAAGGTCATTTGGCAGCGCGCTCGACATTTCACAGCAATATTTCTTGCGTAGGAAGTGGTAAATGGGAGCCTTAACTCACAGATGGCACGCACTTTGGTGAGAGTCATAAACCGACTGCTCCCTCTGAGGGATTTGTTTGTGTCGAGCAACTGATACACGTCCAGGATGGTTTTGATTAATGCTGACAGTGGCCAACAAATACAAAGTGCTCATGCATTTTGGTAAGTTAGATGTGTGGAAAAACAGCCAACCAGATCAGTAGCATGCCAAGTAAACACAGTGCACTGTTTGAGCTGTGCATAAAGTCAGATGTATGCAT